CTTAGATACCACCTCACGCCAGTCAGAGTGGCTAAAATGAGCACATCAGAGGACTCTAGATGCTGGCGAGATTGTGGAGAAATGGGCACCCTCCTACACTGTTGGTGGGAGTGCAAACTGGTGCAGCCCCTCTGGAAAACAGCGTGGAGGTTCCTCAGGAAAATAACAATAGAACTCTCCTATGACCCAGCAATAGCACTGCAAGGAATTTACCCAAAGGATACAGAAATGCTGATGCATAGGAGCACATGTACCCCAATGTTCATAGCAGCACTCTCAACAATAGCTAAAACATGGAAAGAGCCTAAGTGTCCATCCACGGACGAATGGATCAAGAAGATGTGGTTTATCTATACAATGGAATACTACATGGCAATGAGAAAGAATGAAATCTGGCCATGGGTGGCAACATGGATGGAACTAGAGTGTGTTATGGTGAGCGAAATAAGTCAGGCAGAGAAGGACAGCTACCATATGTTTGCACGTATAGGAGGATTAGGAGGAATTAACGAGGATCATGGGGGGGAAGAAGGGGAAAAATGTTGGGGAGAGGGAGGGAGGCAAACCATGAGAGACTCTTGAATGCTGAGAACAAACTGAGGGCAGATGTGGGGTGAAGGGAAGTGGGGTGATGAGTATGGAGGAGGGCACTTGTGGGGATGAGCACTGGGTGTTATATGGAAACCAACTTCACAAGAAACTATTAAAAAAAAAGAGCCCCTTAACTCTAAGGAAAAAAAAAAAGTTCACTGGACTCTAGATTAAAACTGCTTTGTCAGAAAAAAAAACCGGATAGAAGATATCTTGATATCTAAATACTTTCATGAAGGAGAGCTACCTACCTACTGATATAAAATGCTTATCCCACATGATCAGGTGAGCAGAAATAAACGATCTTTTTTTAAGAATCGGATTTGTTGTTGAGTCTATTAACTAAGCAACTTGGCTGTATTAGTCTGAGCAGGCTGTCATAAAAAAATGCCACAAACTAATTGGCTTACACAAGATAAATTTATTTTTTCACATTTATGGAGGCTAGATGACTATGATCAAGGTTCTGGCAAATTTCATTTCTGGTGCGATACCTCTTTCTGGTTGCAGCCTCCATGCCATGTCCTCACATGGCCTTTCCTTTAATGTTTGTGTGCGGAAAGGGGGGGGGGTGTTCTCAGGTATCTCTCAGGTATCTCTTCTTATAAGGATACTGTTCTTACCAGATTAGAGCCCTGACTCTTATGACCTTGTTTTGTTAGAGAATCTGGTATGGATTACCCGGCGGAAGAACCAAGTTGCACTCGGAGATTGTGGAAAGCAGGAAGTTTATTTTACACTAGTTCAGAGGAGATCATTCTCCAAAGGTCTGAGCCCAGATCATTAGTAGAGAGAACAATTTATAGCCTGTTTCTTCTGCATTCCTAATTAATGCGTGTGACAAGCAAGGTGGGAAGAAAAACCTGGAAGGGGGAGTCTTTTACCTGAGACTGGTGTTTTCTTATTAGTTCTGTCGGCCATCTTACAACAGGTTTTCCCTATCACTTTAACCTTACTTATTTCCTTTTCCCCAAATATAGCCAAACTGGGGTTTAGGGCTTCAACACATGAATTATGCATTCAGTCCATAACACTAGCTTTATTCCTAGTAATACAGAAATTAATGGCACTATTAGAGATGTTTCAGGGTATACTTTCCAGGAAGCAGACTCCGAAACAGTTTATCGTACAGAATGTTTATTAAAGAGTATCCTTGGGATTAATGTTTTGAAATAGTTGGGCCTTTACACACCCACCTCAATCAGTCATTAGATATAGGCAAGATATCTCTCTGCAACTGAGGCTGTCTTGAAGGGGCTAATAGATGAAGGCTTTCTATTGATATGACCCCTAAAATCTATAGCAAGTCATTAAAAAAACCATTTTTTAATGTTTATTTTTGAGAGAGACACACAGAGCACTAGCAGGGAAAGGGGAGAGAGAGAGGGAGACACAGAATCAGAAGCAGGCTCCAGGCTCTGAGCTGTCAGCACATCTGATGCAGGGCTCAAACCCACGAACTTTTGAGCCATGAAGTTATAACCTGAGCCAAAGTAGGCCACTCAATCTACGGAGCCACCCAGGCACCCTGAAAGTCATTTCTTGAAGAGAAATTTGTATGGTGCACCATCATGTCCAGTACTGCCCACTCCCTATGCAGCTAAAACCGACTTCTTCATTTAAGTCCTGAAATAAGATCCTCCAAGGTTCTCCACTAACCATTCTAAATTAATCTTTCTCTCACCTGGTCTGGGTAGCTCACCTGGTGACATGACTGAGACCTTCATTCCTGACAAATCTTTAGCCACTGGCTACCATGATCTTCTCTGGCCAGAGTTATTGCACATTTCCATTTCCCATCAAAATTGGGCAAAGGAGTTCCAAGAGGCACCCATATGGATTGCTTGTGTGGCAAGCATATCCAGCTTGCCCCCATCACATAACAGCATCTCTTCCTCCTCCTGATGGCCAAGGTAATTTCCCCTGTGCAAATGGTGTAATAGAGTCTGATACCATTTTTTGATGTTTGACTACTGACATCTTAAGCCTCATCTCTTCTTCTCCTTGTGCTCCACATTTGGGAAAGCTGACACAAAAGCCAAGATATTCCTTCCTTTGGTGCCAGTGAGAAGCTCAAACCTCGCAAGCCTCTTCCTGCACAAAGGAGCTCCCATCCCCTAATCACCATAAACACCCCAAGTCAGTTTCCTTTCCCTTATTCCTCAAGCCATTTTTGGACAAGCTTACAAAGACTGCCCTGCTTTCCTGAAAAAGCCTCATTATGTAAGTAATAATGCTTCAACACTTTCTTGGTGTGTGTGTGTGTGTGTGTGTGTGTGTGTGTGATCACCATTCTTGACTTCTGAACCCAATTTGGGACAGGGGTCCATCCTGTGTTTGTAGGATGGCCACAACCGGTGGTGATTCCTGCTATTCCCTGAACAAAAGAATCCTGCAGTGTTCAGAAAGCATCTATAGCTTATAGTTCAATGTGATTCTTCCTGAGTTTTGCGGCAGAAGACTTTGTCCTTTGGTGATTATGACCTGCAACCCTACAGAGTCCCAAATTGTGGGGACAGGAAGAAGGAATTCTGCCTTTGAACTACCTTTGAACATGAGACTACAATATCAACTCTTCTCTGGCTTTCCATCCTGCCAGCTTGTCCTGTAGATTTCAGACTTGGCAATTTCCAAAATCATGTGAGCCAATTCCCTAAAATGAACACATAAATAAATCTCATATGTATTATATTTATATAAATAGAGGTTCTGTTTCTCTTAAGAACCCTGGTAAATACAGTCACTTTGAAGATATTCCCTGAAGTAGGTTACAAAAGTTAAGAAAATGTTCCTTTATTTTCCTATAACTTCACTGAACTATGCTCTTGACCACTCTGTCCTTATAATAGCACAGAAATGTATCTGGTCACTACATGGCAAGTTCAGTCACTTACAAACATTTCCTCTCTCTTTTGGGTGAACACATAGCTAAATTCAAGGCTTTCCCCCCCCCTTCTTAACCCCTACAGTGGTTTAACTAACATAGAAGGAGGAAAAAATCATGCTAAAATATGATTTAGCATCTGTCCATATTGTTTTCTGCTGATATTTTGCTTACACACTGGCTGCTATCCATCCCTACGGGCATTGGTTGAGTTGTTTTCCATCTTACCTTGAGCTTCAGTTCACAGGGACTCCTTAATGCATTGTCTGATGCCAATTTCAAATTCTCTTTTTATCTTCTCACCCTCCTTCAATCTTTTACGTACACCCCCTTCCCCCAGGGACACAAGACCCGCTCTCTCCACAACACACACGGCTTTCAGGGTGTCTGTGAGGTTGTCCTCATGTATATGCATCTTAACATTTCTCAGCCATTATTACTCACCTGCAACAGAATTATGTTGGATGCTTGACGTATCCACATAGCTCTCAGATTTCCATGATGACTCCCAGAAATTGAGTCAGAGTCTGTATAACTTTTATGGAGTTTCTTTTTTTCAAGTTTATTTATTTGAGAGAGAGCAGGCATGTGCACGTGCCTGAGGGAGGGGCAGAGAGAATCCAAGCAGGCTCCGAACTGTCAACACAGAGCCAGACCCTGGGCAAAGTCAGATGCTTAACCCACTGAGCCACCCAGGTACCCCTGGAGTTTTTTATTCTTTCTACCTGGGGCTAAGTCAAAACAGGTAAAGGAAGAAGGGTAAGACCAGGGTGTGGGTTCCTTCCTCAAAGCCTGGTGTATCTGCTAAGCTCTGTTGCCTAGAGAGGATGGTACAGAAGAAATAGTTTATGCACACAGTCTGGTGCCTCCTGGAATGTGGGGAAATATTATGACCTGGAAAGCAAGCTTAACGAAGTCTCTGATGTAACTTAGTGGAAACTTGCCTGAGATTCATTGTTGAAAGGAGAAGGTACTCAGGGCCCCTGGGTGGCTCAGTGGGTTAAGTGCCTGGCTCTTGATTTTGGCTTAGGTCATGGTCTTTCAGTTTGTGAGATCAAGCCCTGATTTGGTCTCTGCGATAACAGTGTGGAGCATGCTTGGGATCCTCTCTCTCTTGCTCCTCCTTCCTCCTCTCTCACTCTCAGTCTCAAAATAAATAAATAAAAACTTAACAAAAGAAAGAAGAGGGTGCTTAGACAAAAATGAAGGTTTTTTTAAAATTTTTTAATGTTTTACTTATTTCTAGGAGAGAGAGAGAGAGAGACAGCGTGAGCAGGGGAGGACCAGAGAGAGAGGGAGTCACAGACTGAAACAGGCTCCAGGCTCTGAGCTGGCAGTCAGCACAGAGCCTGACGCGGGGCTCGAACCCACGAACCGCGAGATCATGACCTAAGCGAAAGTCGGACGCTTAACCGACTAAGCCACCTAGGCGCCCCACAAAAATGAAGGTTTTTTTTCAGAACAATAGACCTGACCTGAAAGAGGATTGCACTATAGGTCACAGTTAATACTAATGTGTACATATGGTGTAGGGACATTAAACTATCGGAACAGACACTAATCTTACAGAGAAGATTAGCATGGCCCCTGAACAAGGATGACATGCAAATTCATGAAGTGTTCCATATATTTTTTTTAAAAAGTCACTAGAAGCATATTTGTGTGAAGAATGCAAGGCTTGTTGGGACAATAGAATGACAGTAACTTTGGAGCTGATGATTAGGACTTGGGTCATGAGGACTAAGTTCCTCAAACAAAGGACACAAAGGCTTTCCTGGCCTCTGAGGCAAAGGTCCTTGTGCAGAAAGCATTCTACGTTCATAAGTTGGTAAATAATCCTCATTTTGGGAAGAGAATTTGATTTGGTCTTGTGTGGTCCTCTTACAATGTTTGGAAACCGGTCTTTAGAAAATAGTCCAAATTCCTTGACAAGCAAGGTTATTTAAGTAGCCTGAGAAGGTAATACACCACTCTGAGGCAAGGCTATCCAATATGGGTGAAACGTGTGTTTGTGAAAATATTTCCCAACATTAACTTTTGACCCCAAAGAGTCAAGAACTAATCAGTAAAGGAGGGAGTGGGTAAAAGATAGTGAAAGAGCAGTAGTGCTAATGAGTAACAGGAGTGTACAGCATAATAATAGATGATATACTGTATCAAGGGTTTACAATGTGCAAGGCACTATATGTATATTACCATATAAGGCATTTTACATATGTAAATTCAATTAATTCTTGTGACAATACTACGCAGGAGTGTGATAGAGTCAGGTAGCACTCCTGTTTTCACTTCCATAGTGAAAGTTTTTTTAAAATGTTTATTTTTTGTATATAGAGAGACAGAGTGTGAGTGGAGAAAAGGCAGAGAGAGAGGGTGATGCAGAATCCAAAGCAGACTCTTGGCCCTGAGCTGTCAGTACAGAGCCCAACATGGGGTTCCAACTCACGAATCATGAGATCATGACCTGAGCCGAAGTTGGACACTTAACTGACTGAGCCACCTAGGCGCCCCCATAGTGAAGGGTTATTTCTGGCAAGTGGCTATTCAATGAGGAGCTACATATTTCATCCACTCCTTTGCAGTTAAACGGAGTAATGTGATTAGTTTCTGTGGTAGAGGGAATAATGGCCCTGAAGGTTATCTATATCCTAATCTATGGAACTTGTAAGTATTAATTTTGCATGGAAAAAGGTACTTTGCTGTTACGAAAAACTTAAGAACCTTGTGATGGGGCGTTCATCCTGGATTTTCCAGGTGGGCCCTAAATGCAATCACAAGTGTCCCTTTAAGAGGGACACAGAGGGACATTTGACCATAGAGAAGGTGATGTAATAATGGAAGCAGAGATAAATTTGAAGATGCTATGTGGCTGACCTTGAAAATGATGGAAGGGACTATGAGCCAAGGAATGCAGGGAATACAGCTCTAAAAGCTGGAAAAAGCAAGGAAATAGAAATATCTTCTACATCCTACAGATAAAGCATAGCCCTTCTGACTTCTTGGTTGTGATGCAGTAAAACTATTTTGGGCTTCTGGCCTCCAGAGCTGTAAGAAAACGAATTTCTGTTGTTTTAAGCCACTATGTTTGTGGCGATTTGTTGCAGCAGTCATAAAAAACGAATACAATTTCTCACCAGTGAAATATGAATAGAAATGTCACCAGAACCAAGTTGTAATTTGTAAGGACCTTAGGAGCTTTAGATGTTATGGTTCCTTTCATCCATTATAATGAAAGCATTACTATAAATATGCATATAATCCAGGCTTAATTCATTATTATATGTCCATTATTAAATATTTATTTTGTCTTCTGGTTTTAAAAGAAATTAAAGTTAAACATTTTTATAAGCCCCTTAATAATATTAACTGTAGGCCCTGTGGCTACTGTACCTAACAAAAGATCACTGATGTGTGCTGCTTCTGAACCATGGAGTAGTTATAGAGCCAGTATTCCTTCTCTACTTTCTCTCTCTCTCTGTCTCTCTCTCTCTCTTTTAACAAAGGAGATAGAAATTTATTGAATACACCGCAAGGGAGTGGCAGGAAGACAGCAAGGGAGAAACTGTCTACCATAAGACAGTGGTGGGAGGCTGTAGTTAAGAAGGAAAGTGAGGAGGTATTGGAATGTATGGAATTCTTTTATTCTCCTTTTCTGGTATAAGTAACCCATTGGTCAGCTAAGGCTTATGGAATTTGTGAGGTGGGTTGCCTGATGGGCTTGTTTGTATTTAGCCAGTGGGTAAGGGGTCACTGTGGGCTCTTCTACCTTACTCAGGTTTCCATTGTTCAAGTTGGTTGCCTAAAAGTGGCCTGTACATTCCCCCCTGAGAGATTGACGATGACTAATCTTTGGCATTTGGGTGGAGGCCTTATCTTTAGTAGCTGCTTCATGCTGAATGAGGGGAGTAGAGAATTCAATACCTATGGGTCAACATTGGTCAGTTGGGGTTTTTAATAGGAGTTATTGAAGGCCGAGGCAGCTATGTCTAGAGTTGATAACACATGGGAGTCTTCTTGAGCAGAGAGGATGGCTTAAAGTTATGGCAGTGAAGGAGTCTCAACACCAGGAAGAGAGGCATGGGAGAAAACAGCAAAACGTGATTAGAATAACAAGAAGATAAAGAATCCCAAATAGGAGTCTTTTGATAGTTGACAAAAATTCTCCTATACAAGAGTTTAACCACTCAGTAGGAGAAAAGGAGGGGTCTTTTAGAGCACCAATTTGAGTATTAATGTCAGTTAGAAACCCAGAAATATTGTTCTTATAATCTGTAATGTATACACAGTATTCTGTTTTTTATGATAGCACATTTTTCACCTTGTGAAGCAGTTAAAACATCTAATGCCATTCTATTTTGTAAGACTGCTTTATGCATTTGAGTTTGTTTCACTGTTTAATAATACAATGTCATTTTCAGAGTCATTTGAGGCCTTAATTGTATAGGAGGTGGTGTTAGCCATCATATACTTTGTTTTGTTTAGCGATAAGTTAATTAATAAGAGGCACCTTTAGAGAAACAAAAGAACAATATAAGTTAATCATTGAAGCAAATTATAAACTCAGTATCTGAGTCTTGAGGGCTGCCAATGAGACTTGAGTGCTGCCAGTGAGGAAATTTTTAGATGTCAGGCTTGAAGCATACTCAAATAGAATTGGAACAGGCAGTGGGAATCAGATGGGTTTTTCTGGCTTGTAATTCAAATGTCTCTGGTGGTCCTTTTGAATGGCTCTTAGAGTAACAGTCATGAATATTGTCTCTACATAAGTTTTGTGTCAAGTTCTCTGAAGTTTACCTCATGTTGTTACTCAGATGTGTAGGAATATGTTTGCTCATAGATCAAGGTGTTGGCTGGATCTGCAGGAACAGAGGAATAAAGGGAAGAGAGTCAAAAGAAGTAAGGTGGCTGAGAGTCAGCCAGTGTCAGGAAAGGGTCCTAACTGAGTCCATAATGGGTACAAATTTGCCCTGGACAAACTACTGCTCTCATCTGTGCCACATGCTGGGAACGGAGGCCTCAGATAGGACAGAATGAGAGAGCAGAGGAAAAGGGACCCTTGACTCTCACAGCTGTGGACGGTCCAACCTTTTTGGACTCAGACATTTAAACCACACAAGGGACCTGCCCTGGCTAAAGATCTTCAGTTGTCTGAGAAGTACTAGGGTTAGGTTGCCAAAGGGCCAAAAACAGAAAGAAGAAGGAGAAAAGGATCCCTCTGAAAGACAAGAAGGGGAATCCTTCACCCTTTTGGGCAAGGGTGGTTCAACTGCCTCTCTCAGACCCCACCCTCTGGGGCTTCAGAGCCTCACCAAGGAGTAACCTCTGCCAAAGATCATCAGTTCCCCCAAGAAGTACTAGAGTCATTTCACTGAGGGAAAGTCTTGCAAAATTCCTGAAGAATCTGGGGAGAGCCTTAGGCAAGCAAAGGCTCCCCATGCAGGGTCCACCAAATGTGGGACAACCCAATCATGTGGAGGCCAGCAGCATGAGTGGTGAAAGAATTCACCCAAAGCAAAACAAAAGAGGTAGAAGCTTACTGAATACACTGAAAGGGTGTAGTGGGCAGGACAGCAAGGGAGAGACTGTCTGCCTACTTTCTTTTTTAGAAAAGGTTTCTCAGATCCCATCAGTTTGCATTAAAAAATGCTGGTTTTTTTTTTTTTTTTTTTTTTTGAGTCATCATGTGGAGGAAAGTTACCTTCTGCCCAGGAATATTTACATTGTACTGTTTCATGAGTGAAAAATAAGTTTTTACTGTAAGTCACAGAAATTTTGGGATGTATTTGTAACAGCACATAACATACTGGAGGATATAAGATTGGGACTTTGAGGTGGGATTAACCCAAAGTAAAAATATGCATGTGAGTCTGGCTTAGTGGTCAAATTGTATGCAGTGAGGAAGTTGAAATTGGAAACTGGAGATATGGAGACTCAAGTGTAGTAGCAAACATTGGGTGAATGTATCAACCATGATCACTTGAAAATCAGACCAAAGACTTACCAAGCCTGAACCTCTAGGAGGACAGATTGGATAATAGAATGTTGATAAAGTGTACTGGTTGTTACTTGCTGCATTTAGCAAGATGTGTCAAGAAAGTACGTACATTACAATATTTATCTAGTTTTAAATTAAAGACAGAATGCAATAGAGAGAATCTTAGTCTTCTCAGGTGCCACAACCAAATAACAGACTGGGCGGCTTAACAGAAATTAGTTTTCTCACAGTTCCAAAGACTAGAAGATCCAGATCAACATACAGCAGGTCAGTTTCTGTTGATTGTTCTCTCCTTGACTTCCATTATTGACAGATGTCTTCTTACTGTGTCCTGGCATGGTCTTTCCTTAGTGCATGCACATAGATTTTTCTTTTCTCCTTCTCTTCCTTCTCCTACAACACCTCCTCTTCCTCCTCTTCCTCCTCCTCCTCCTCCTCCTCCAGCCACCTATCCTATCAGACTTAGACTTTACCCTGATGATTTCATTTCATCTTAATTACCTTCTAATCATCCTATCTCCAAATATACAAATATAGTTTTATTGGACATAGGGCTTCAACATATGAATTTTGAAGGGAATATAGTTTAAACTTTTAAAATATTTTTTTGAGTCTGGGAGGGACAGAGGGAGAGAGG